GCAGCATTTCAGAGTATATGTAGTCTCTACTCAATACTGTTACGGACCACTTTTTTTCCCCTTACTTTTTAAAGAAAATATAGCAGGAAAAAAAACAACATTGTACATTGTCACTCCTCTGAAAGAGCCGAGTCTTTTCGGACGGCCTGATGAGAGATGGCGCTGGGAGAAGGAGTGCATGCTGGAGGTGCGGATGATTATGGCGGTGTGCTTGCTTGAATTAGACCGTCCAGGATTACGAGTTTATGCCTTACCTTTATTAAGAATTATCAAGATGATACTAAAGGTTCTACATGCAACTCAATCCGTGTCATAATAATGTTTAAGCCGTTATCTTAAGATGTCATTGTTGATGCGTGTCGGGCCTGATTTAAGTGCATGTTGGTGCTTGCGAGCGCATCCCGCTGGTTAACGCTCCCGTTGCTGCTCACGCAGCCGTCAGCGCCGTCCCAAACGAAGCGTGGCACCAACCCTGCGGTTCCTCCTCGGGAATCCGCCGATAGCTCCACCCCTTCAGCCACAGTTTGTGCCGTTAGCATTGTTGGCTGTAAACCGCTAATCTCTTATTTAGAGCCATTATATATATCTGCACAAAAGGATCACACCAGGCTGCACTAAAACCATTTGTAGTTTGATTAAGAACACAGACAAAAGGTAATTGCTCAACTTTGACTCACAATGGAAACAGAGACTTAAAAAAAGGACAAGTAGTAATTTGCAAAGCAACGCTTGCACTAAACTCAATAAAGTCAACCACCATGGTCATGATGCATGCAGAAGAGGTTGATGAGGGGAACATCCCGTCCCCTGCATCGGTCTTCTTGAGGTATGCAAGTTGCGTGTCTGCAAAAACCTTTATACAGCCACTGCCCCACAAAGCGGTTGAAGTGAAAGTGAGAGAACGCCACTGACTCACGACACGCGAGGGGGCGTCCGCCAAGAGACTGAGCGGATCTGAGAAGTTTGACAGACATGAAACTAAATATGGCCTAGGCGCTATTTATTAAAATTACTAATTAAAAAGAAGGCGCAATTATAAAACCACATTTCAACATGTATGCTCTTTGAAAATTGACTCACTAGTTAAGTGTTTTCAAAGTATTAAAAAAATATATCTTCACGAGGCCCTCATGGTGGAAAAAAAAAAAAGTCTTCTTTTCCCTCCAAAGTTCTCCCTTTAGTCTCTGAAGACTCATCCCGGTCGTCTTACATTTCCCGTCATGGCTTTTGAAATGGAAACTGGACTGGGCAAGAGATTTGAATTGCAATCAGGAACACGTAGAAACAGTACACCGGATTCGACTGCAGACCGGCGCTGCAAGCGAAGCAAGGATGCTTTAGGCAGATGTTCAAATAAGCCCCACTCGCCATAGGAGGAACAGAGGCACACAGGAGCAACGGCGTGCGAGCTGAATAGCACAAAAGACTGCTTCGGCTGACCCCGCAAAGTATGAATCAAGCGCACCTCAGAGAGCGGGAGCGTTATGAAGAGCAACGCCTAATTGCTTGCTCATAGATGCCGAACGCATGTTCTGCACTCTTGTATGCAGCGTTCACATTCTTTGACCTTGATGAATTATCTGTCTTTATTGACAGCACTTATTGATATTTCTTAAAGCCACAGGCTAATGGAGTTCTATTGAGATTATTAAATGAGCTGCTGGTGCCCGGATTAGCCCGGTCTCGGCTCGCCGGTGCAGCCTGCATTATCATACAGAGCAGATGCGTGCGTGTGTGGAGTCCCAAATTCCTGCGACCGACATCTCCAGGGGAACGGAGAAGCGATGACTACATCCGACCTACATTCACCCCGCCTAGGAATGCTTGCCTCCAACTAATTACAGACAAAAACATGCATACTCAGTCACACTATAGCCAGATTTACGCTATAGAAATGGTTAGAGTGCAGGGAAATGTTGCTGTTTTATGCATATTACCGAATTACACGATTTCAATTAGGTGTGCATGCAGCTTTTCTCAAAAGAAGCATCACTGAGGGTTTTAAAAGACGAAAAACACTCCTGCCTGTAGAAGCTCCTGGAGACCTCCTGAGGTTTTGGAGAGAACTTTACTTTGGCTTTTGCCCAGGCTTAGATTTAAATATAATTTGTGTGATGGGTTGTGAAATTACTCCAAGCACAAAAAACATTAGGAACAAACCGTAAGCTACTAGAGCTCGCGCAAATGCCTCGAGCATTGAAACGGCATATTGGATTTCATTTAAATGTCTTAAGCATTGAAAGGATTTAATAAATAGTCTCTAAACATTACTTGAGGTATTTACATTATAAGACCAAAACTACTGCCGGAAAAACAGCCCATTAACAAGTGAGAAAGTAGGGTGACGCAGGCTGCAGCGTACGAGCGCGTCTTCAAACCGCCGTGTCAGTGTTTCCTGTGTCGTACAGCATCCTGGTTAGAGTGATGTGGTTGCTGTCATTTTTTTTTTTTTTTTTTTTTTTTTTAAAGGGGGAGATTTCTACAGATGCAGCCCACATTAAGGTCAGAATGTGTTGAGCTGTGCAACGCTTTCCTAAACTAGAAATTACTTGAAGAGCGTCAATGTCAACCTACGCTTTGGGTAAAAGCGTCAGCTAGATGACATGCAATGATTCTAGAACCTGCTCCTCCACCCAAAGCAGTGTTTCAGTTGCGTCAGGTCTGTTACAGGAGACTATGAAAAGTAGTGCTTACCGTCATCACTGTACAGAATTAGTTTCATTTCTTTGTTCACATGAAATCAATTCTTCATTGATTTAATGCCCCATTCAGGGTTAGGGTGAATCTTTACCTTTACACTTTTTTATTATCTGTACTACTGTACTATTACTATGATGCAATCTTTACAAATAATTAATGCTAAACTAAAAAACAACTACAAAAATCTTTTTGGATGTATGGAGAAATTTTGTGAATTTAAAGCTACGCATGATAACAAAGAATAATAAATGTGTGTTATATATGACAAACCTTCACCACTTTCTGAAAACAAAGGCCAAGAAACAAGAGCATATTGTTGATTCATGAGCAGTGACACTTTGTTGGAGAATCCTACGCTCTGAATCTGGCAAAGGCCCTTGTGAGCACTGAAAGGAGGAACCTTGTGTCTTTACACGTCTCATTTACTACTGTCCAGATATAGTGACAGTCTGAGCAAATATGAAGAAATAAAAAGTTGTTTTTATTGAAGTTACCAGCTTTGAAGGTGTATATTTTCCATTACACTGCTTGAAACCGCATGCTTGCAAAATTTGCCTTGGTCAGTTAATCCCCAAGATGATTCAACGTTCATGACAGACACGGGGACAAAAGAAAAAAACAGAAATAAAATAAGGTTGAGCTGCTGTATAGTTATCATTGCATGACATTTCCAAATCCCCAATGCTATTTATTATTTGTAGGTGTAAAAAACAATCTTTTAAATAAATGTCCGATATCCCTGAGGGTTTTCTGAGCAGTGGCTCCTGAAACCGGCATCGGATTTTGTGATAAAGCTACACTTGACCACAAAATAACCAGAGGCATTTGAGGAGCGTTGATTAGTGCATTCCATGCAGTGCTTCCTGCTACAGTGGGACTGTAACTGGGTGGGTAGAGAAAATCTCCAACCCTGCCAGCAGCATCAGATTCATACACACTGAGGACACCCACTTGAACATATGCAAGACGGGTATGCATTTGACTTTCAAAATGTTGTGTTATTTTAGTTGGGCTAGTCAGTTATACCGTCCCATTTCCCAGCAAGTCTGTGGATGTGCACAGGACCTCTGTAAGTCCATTTCAACCCACATAAATGATTATCGGCAGTGAGCGCTACGCTCTCTGCAACCAGATTCCTTCACCTGATCGCGGAAACAAAAATACAGGCAAACAGCGCCGCAACCGTGAGCCAATTTCTCGAGAGATTTGTCAACTTACAATGATCAGTTGAACCTAATGCTACAGAAGGTGGGCGGTGCACAAAACACAGCGCTGCTGACTGGAAAACGTCTGATGCTCAAAACGGGAATCCATGCGGACCGACAGCGAACACGCTGCTACGTTGATGCAAACTAAATAAGGGATGACGAAGGTAAAAGGAGAAACAAAGGCTGCAAAGTGAAACAATTCATTTCCCTTCAATAGGGCCTTGCCACGAAAGAACCACATTCCATCCATTTGAAATAACACACACTTTCTCATCGCCCTCATCCGTGCACACACACACACCCACACACATACACCTCCATCCAGCCTGTGCTCACGACAGATCTCGACGCCCTAGGAAATGGGCGTCATACATCTTGTCTGACTGCAATAAAGCAGAGCCTAAGATTCTATTTCCAATAAACGTCGACTGATTGGAAAACTCATTCTAATATCAATTTCCATCTGGGCCCTTTAAAAGGCAATCAGCATAGATTCATCTCTGTATATCATGGGCTCCTTGAGCTGATGACACAGCACTGGTTCTCTCTTCTGCATAATGGCCCTCTCCTATCAAGGCATCTGCAATGAATAATACCACCCATGAATGGGCTATTTAGTCCGTGTTCGCACAGATAGGGGCCACTTCTCCGAATATTAATTCAGAGTTTTACACTTCATATGGTTCTCTCAGGGCCGCATTCGGAGGAGTAAGGCTACTTAGTGTGATTTGGCGCACTCTGCTTTTCCCTGCAAGCTTTCTCAGAAGTGACAATGGTGATTAAGAACAGGATCTCGCTTTTTTCACGATGCCTGGCGACCACAAAACAATAATTTATGTCAAGAAATTTCTATCACAACTTCCCTACAGGCGATCCACAGTTTACTAAAATACTCGAGTCAATGAAACATCTTTATCTCAACAAATTAACGGATTTGAATTACTGGAATTACACAGACGTCCAATTCCAAAAGCTCATATTTGGCTCGGCAAAGTCAGCTCAAGTGAAGGCCCCACTATAACCACGATAGCGGCAAACTTTCAAATCTGCCTGATCAGCTTAAAGTGAGGCTCCAACGGCTCTTTTTCTCACCTTCCAGCCACTGCCTGCCTCCCTGTAGTATGGAAAGTTATCACAGATCCACTGGTAGATCTCGCTCAGTGTCATCTTCTTCTTTGGCGAGCTGTTGATGGCGAACGTGATGAGGCTGGCGTAGCTGTACGGCGGCTTGCCGTCCTTATGCTGCTGCACTTCCTCCTGGTCCAACGTGGTGTTAGGATCCAGCAGGGCGCTCTTCTTGCCCATGCCGGGCCCGTGGGCACTCTGAGCGTCCGCCTTGCGGATGGCCGCCTGCATGGTCAGCTGAGGAAGCCAATCCATGGAGGTCAGGCTGCTCTCCAGCTCCGACGTCATGGCGACGGCAGGCCGGGCAGGAGGGGGGTAGGGAGACTGTGGAGCCGGACGCTGCCCGTTGACTGAGGCGGAGGGGACCAGGTGGGGAATAACAAACCGAGGCAGGTCGAGGATGAAGTACTTCCTCAGCTCAAGACATCAGCATGACGTCCTCTGAAGGTCAACTCTGGAGAAACAGGGAAAAGAAATGGCTTCATATGTCTCTTCTCTTTAACAAGAAATAAAAAGCATTTTAAATTTTTTAAAAATTAAAAAAAAAAGAAAAAAACATACGTATATCAGCAGTGCTGCAAACAAAACGTAAGCCAGGAAGCGACTCTGAACCGGTTGGCAATCATCAAAAACCAAGTGTCTCTAAAGTATGCTTATATCAGCTGTGAAGCGGATCACAAGCCCACCACTTTCTCCACCACTCGCTGCTCTCAAAGCTGACTCATGGCTGGGACTCCATCTGCACAGAGCGAGGGAGTGAGCGAGCGAGAGAGAGAGTAAATGCCAGGCAATTGTTTTCACAACTGCCAGCCAAATGGGGTACTGGCTCAGGAGGAATTTCAACTCTCCTGAGGGTCGTAAAGCCCCTCTCCCTTCTCCCCACTGTGCCAGGCTGCCTCCCCCAGACGGAGCCCCTGCCGTAAACAAGCCAGCAAGTGTCGTCTTGCAGACCGTCCCGGGCCTACTGCGCGTGCAGAGAGCGGCCCGCTACACAGCTCGTCTCGCTGTCCCCCACAGCTCACTGTCCTCTCAGTCTTAAAATAGAGCGACAACGTAGAGAGGCCTGAAGTGTAGGTGAACACGGGAAAATGTGGGAGGGGGAGAAAATCCTGAGGGGGATGACACTTCTATCTAGCTGAAGGGGGGGGTGGGGTAGAATGGGCGGGATCCTCACCAAGTTGTGGGATTTTTGTCTTGACTGAGCATGCTCACATAAGAGACAGAAAGACTGCACAAAAAAAAAAAAAAAAAACACTTTCGCATTCATCTTAAAAGCACTTTAAATACAATCGATCTAAAAGGGACAGATTCCAAACGAGTTGGTTAAATTGTGTTTTTTATATTTCTCATGTATTCTATTGTACATTATTGGCGAGTCAAAAGGCAGTGACGGAAGTTGTCAAACTGAAATGCAGCGGTGACAGTAACAAATAGTGAGAAAATTGGACGAGCTTCTTCAGCGATAGGCGATGACAAGCAGTTAGTAGTTCTTGTCAAATGAACTCACACCCAACTCAATATCTATATCCACAGACAGATGAAGGCATCTTCCATTCATCCAAACAATGTAAACTAAAATAAATACAATTAAAAAAAAAAAAAGCTTATTGTAAAAGGTTTTGGAGGGGATGCATTTTCAATGCAGCTTTTATTTCCTTTGCCTAATTATTGTCTATGCACAAATTGAGAATCTTTTTTAAAAGTATATTTATACCTGTATATATGTGTATATATCTTTAAACAAACTATGGCTGAACGTTAGGAGTGTAATCCACTGAATCGATTAATCGATTTATATTCCTGCGATCCAACTGAATCGATCTGTGCTCAGAAAATCGGCATTCCGGACAACATATATCGATTACAAATCGATTGAAAATGGTACATAATCAATTTGTATCGATACTTGGAAACTGCAAATTGGATTTAAGCACAAAAACTGTATGGATGTGTGTTTGTTTGTTTTTTAGCACTTTAGACACGTTAAACGTTACTCGATTCAGTCTGCCTGTCTGTGACGTCATCAGTACGCAGCGGCAGCCGCGCGAAACTCTGAACAACAACAAAACACAGCGTGGAGGAGACGACTGCGAGCAAGACATTTACAAACCAACTTATCGATCCAGCGTGTGGAAACATTGTCGCTTATGCAAACACGGAGGTGTTCTAAATAAGTCGGTCGCTGTTTGTAGAATATGTAGAAGCCAAATGAAAAGAAACACGGAAACACGGCGAATCTTACTGGCCATCTACTAAGGCGCCGTGGAATTAAACAAAACGGCGACAGTCAGGACCTCAGGCAGCGTTACCGTCACAGTAACAATTGCCAAGTTTATCTTGCGACCCTACAATGTGGTTGAAAATCCGGGGTTCTGTGAATTGATCCAAACATTGTGTAATTATTGTGTAATGTTTACATTGAAAATGGTTGCACAATAAAAGGTTAATACATTTTCCATCAATTGTTGTTTGCTTGTTTATAATATCCATAATTAATTTAAACCTGATTTCCTTACAAGAAACAGCAATCTCAGAAACTTTGCCTGCACTGTCGAGTAAAGTTACTGAATCGATTTTAAGTCACTGAATCGAATCGTTCTAAATTAACCCAGATTGTCCATGAATCGAATCGGCAACCATGAATTGCGTTATTCGAATCAAATCGTTGTTAAAATGAATCGTTACACCCCTACTGAACGTCCACGCTTAGAGGAGGGTAATGGCGTGAAACAAAAGCAGCGTATTTAGCCAGGATTTGGCTAATGACTGGTGGTTTGAGACGTTTCATCTTTACAATCTATTACAACCGACTGAAATCAAGCTGCCATAAACTTTAGTTCAAATCAGACGTCTCTCGTTACTCCTTAGCAAGGAGAAACAGGTTGGTTGTGCTTCCTTCGTTGACAGCTGAATTGTGCTGCTCACAGGTTGGAAACCTGAGTAAAAAAACACTGAGGTAATTCTCCCGGCCTCTGCAGGCATGAGCAGACATACGGATGAGCTGACTGACTGGCAGGTGAGTCAGTCTAATGGATAGAATCCTCATCACCGAAAAGACAAAACAAATGATGCACCAAAAATCTCCACCCAGTGACTGAAATAAAAGTGACTCATAAGCTGCTCCTGACAGTAATTTTCCTCTTTGAGTGGCGCCCTATTGCAATATGACACTAATTAGATTTTGAATGTTGGTCTACATGTTATCATCCATTTGAATATCTGCTCCCACCGCACATTTAATAATCATACAAGTCCGACATATTCCATGCATATAATAGGAAACCTTTCACATTTCAGTCACAATCAGTCAACATATAATGCGATGAATGCAACAAGAACTTCCAGCTTCTCTGGATTGATTGATTACTTGCTTAATGTCATTGCAAATTGAATATCTATGGACTGCACGTAGACAAGACACAACCTGAAATTTTACTAAACAATTCAACTTGGCAAATCAGTAAACATTTAATAATTGTAATATACTTAAACTTAACCGCACTGAACCTACCGCCTCCACAATTACCACAGTTTTAAATCCGATTAGCTTTAGCAAGGTGTTCCTGATGACGCGGCAGCTCAGCGTACGGGCCTGCATTGAGTTACGCCTTTGTGGTTCGGATCAAAATGTTTCCATTCTCGCTGTGAATGGGAGTTTCAAAAGGAGAGGAGGCACGCAGAGCCTTCACGGGGGCCACCAGAGCCGAGCTGACGGAGACAGGAGCTGAGGAAATGCGCTGCGCCTGCTACACAGAGACGTATGCCATTTGACCCTCAGCGCTAATGATCCAGCTGCTCCGTAATCTGCAGGGCCGGGTCGGTGTCTTAATTAGAGGACCTTGGGCTGTTGCAGGAATGATTAAGCGCATCACAGGCGGGCAGTAAGGCGCCCTGCCCCCCCATTGCCTCCCCTGCTGCTGCCGCCGCCGCCGCTACCCTGCCCCCCCCATGTCCCCCACTCTGACCTGACAGTCAGAGCGGGGACATGCCCCAGCCTGCTGCCACGACAGGGCTGACTGTGAGCCTGCTTCATGTCAGGAGAGCCGGGGGGGGGGGAGAGTTCGCCGCTTCTTTACGGTCACAAGAAATAGTAAAAAGACTGAGCGATTTTGAGGGAAGAGGGAGAGAAATGGATGGTCAAACAAATTCTCTTCATTCATGAAATTCTATTCATCCTCAGAGGATTCTTTTTTTTTTAAACGCACACATTTTAAAAACATCTCACCTCCTCTAAATTCCTGACAGGAAGCATTAACAACGCTCCTGCTGCCGACAGCGGCTCTGTGATCGTGTTTGGTCAAGTGGTTCGCTCACGCTGACAGCATGGTTCTTACACATGTGGCAAGCCCCATTTCATTCAAGGAACTCCAATGAGGCCAACGCGTTTTGTAACAAGGGATTACTTTACACAACACGGCAGATTGCGTCTACTTCATCGTGTTTGGCAAGTGCCTTCTGAGATGGCACGTCAGCAACTGCGTCACAGAAATAAGAGTTGTTCCCCATCCAGACTGTTGCAAAATTCATGTGTTCTTAAGGGTACTAAAACTTTAAAGTGGCTGCTAACGATGCACGGCCCGTGATGAAATAAATATTTCAGGTGTGATACTGCTACACTGAAGGGCACTTAGTGATTTTCAATGGTTCATATAATGGAAATTAGTATCCACCCCAACATTAAATATAATGCAGCAGGTATGTTTAATTACTTTAATGTGAGATATATATATATTCCTTGAAGAAACATTTATGACTAAAAACCTTATTAAATATGATATTGTTTTTCTGCTTGGTAAACACACCGGAGTGTAGCGGTGTTTTGTAAGTTGTGAGGCGAGGCCTTTTCTTCTTCGCAGTGACAGCAACACTGGATGTTGTTGCCAGAAGCCTCCACTTCGATTCCTATCTCCACAGTTGGGATGGGATGTTACTACTTGCACGAGCAACCTGAACGTGATTATACAGTCCCACACTTTTTACACTGCGTATTGCAGTCCAGCAGCCACACACAGTCAGCCGCGTCGATATACACGCAGGTGCAGCGATTTGTCCCGACTTTATTAGGCTTCGTCAATCCAACTGTGGGGAAAGGCAGCGATGGGGCGGCGAAGCCTTTTCACCTCATGAGTCCAGTCTGGAGACTTTAATTACGGTTTAATCAAATATTAGCATCTGACAGGTCAGCTGGATCATTACAGTCTGATGAAACTCATGTAGGGTGCAGTGTTTTCACCGTTTTTACTAATTAACATTGAAATGGATTTTATGTTCCCATATAAACAGATCATTTCCACTTCCTCCTGCTCAAGCGTTCATTGAGTGGGCAAATATTAAGTGTATTTGTGCTGAAAACATTGTGGACGCAGGTAAAAGTTGTTGATTTCTTAATGTCTGATCAACGTCTCAAAGACACCACATCACATATGACCTAAACTAGTTCAACAGAATACTTAA